GCCACACACGCATACACACCACATATCGTATATACCGTAATTAGCGGGTTTTAGTTAATTTCGTTTTCCATATTAAACCTGGGCAATTGGCCCATTCAGTTGCTTACATACGTCGGCATTAGTTGACTGCTGCGGTCAGATTTGCTGCATACCTGGGCGTATACGTGATTTAATTCGGTAAATAGTGTTTACTGCTTAACTATTTGAGCTAAATCGATGTTGAAGGGTACATGATAGCATAGTAACGACACTATTTCTGAAATATTATTATATTGAAAAATTGTTTAGTAGAACTTACGGGATTTTGGATACTAAAGTACAATAATATATGCTCAGTTTCTTGGATTAATTTACTTAAATTGAAAAGAAATATAAATTGAAAAGAAATTAATTAATTGTAATAAAAAAATAAGCAAATTTCTGAGCTAAAGTTGTTACCTAATGATGCTATTTAAATATTCATAATCTAACATATATTATTTTCAACTTTCCTAGCAGAAATTTCTAAAGACATTTGATGCTTGACTTAACTGCTAACAATTTTCAAACAATTAATAAACTCAGGGTATGCCCGAAATAACACCATTATTAGAAGACCTTATTGAAGAGAGCGGTACCGAGTTATTATTACTCTTACATAAATAAATTTTATTAAAGTAAAGTAGTATTGTATTAAAGTTTCATTCATTTCAACTTTAGAGAAGTAATTTTAACTGCTGTTTTGAGGTAGATAATGAACAACATATATTTTATAAAAGATTCAAGATAATCGTTACCCATTCTTGCCTATTCCAGACGTTGAAGCCTTTTAATTCCACACGGCTGATGCATTTAGTTTATATACAGACCTTAAAAATTATGTGTGAAAAACTATTTAATATTTTCTAGCTAATCCTTTTTCCGCATTGATTTTGTACAGAGATTAAAGGATTAAATAGAAAAGCATTCATATGCTAATTGAATTAACACTCTACATGCATACAAAGCTATGTGTAGGAGTACAAGGGGAAATGGAATACAGCTGGCTCATATTTCTAAAAATAAAAATTAAGTTCCATTTGTGCTTGTTTTGAGTATGCACTGCAGTTGGGTTATCATATATGAATCGATAAATTTTGTTTTGCTTTTATTTGTAGTAATATTAAATTCTTTATGTTATTAAAGTTTTGTATAAATGTTAATGTCCAATATGTATATGAGTGGTATACAAAAATTCTGAATACTAATAAAAAATATTTTCTATTTAAAAACTATTGGATTAAGTACAATGCAAGTTTGTTTCAGTACATATATTCGCATATAATTTTTTCCCCCGAAAAGTAATTAAATTTATTACAATTTTTAATTGAACACTCAAATCAAAGTTGCTGATATTAATTTTTATTTTTCTTTAGTTTTTTTTATCAAATTTTATGAATCCCATCGAACTCACCGCGCTTTTACATGCAGCCACTACGGCGTATACGTGACATGAATTCCCATTCAATTTGCATGAAATGTTACGTATACGCAGTGGCTTACAACGTCAGTTAGTAGTGTTTTTTTCGCGAAAGTATTAACTGGCTGTATAGTTGCTATTGATGTTGGAGATGTGCAGAAATTAAAATTTCTGAGCACAGGTGTTGTCGGCGTACACACAACTGTATGCTTGAACATGTGTTGATTTGCAGCGATGATATGCTGACAGCTAAATTTATACGATAAGCTAGCTAAATCCGTTGCATTACAACTGATTGAACACAATAAATTCCAGATAACATTGCGCCTAATTTTTTCGAAATAACGGAGTGCTAAGCAATGCGTACTGCCGTTGTGAAGGCTATGTTTCGAGTCCTAGTTCAATCAACATCCAAAAATTATATACAATTATCTCTCGATCAGGAATGTAATGGAATAAAAGATGCACATAACGAAAACCATCGACCGTTCGGAGGCGGCTTTGAATAAACTTTAGGTCTCTCCGTTTCAAAATATCAAGTCAAATTGGAAGAGGAGCCTGGCTCGAAAATCGTTTCAACGTAGATATGTAATTTTAAATTGCTATTTGCAATGGATTTATGTATGCAGCATGTAAATAACCATAATTATAATTAGCAGGCCATAGGGATGAGGCAATGATGGCATAATGCCAATTACCGAAATGGTACTGGTAGAATTAGAGAAAAGGGCAACACATTTTTAATGGTATTTCATGCGCAAACGATTAAGAAAACTATTTGCGGAATCCCCAAATTTTGTTCTATGATTTACTGAAATACTTTTATTGTTCCTTTTTTTAATACAATTAATATAATTATTAAACAAAATATCACACGAAATGAATAAAAATGTAAGAAATGATAAATATAAATTAAACAAAGTGAAATAAAGTAAAATTATTTAAACTAAAATAAATTTATATAAAATTTAAAATAAATAAATAATATAAAAAAATATAAATATAAAATAATATAAATATTTATATAAATGAAACTATATTACAATAAAATAAAATAAAATAATAATAAAATCAAATACAATAACTTTAATTGAAATTAATAAAATACAGTGAAATAAAATATTTTGAATTCAATTAAGATACTTCTTCAGGACATTGTTTTTTTGAAATTGTTTTTATGTTTTATGAAACTCCCTTACACCATATATTTTTTGAAAATACTGAAAAAATAAAATTTAATAAAATAAAACTGAATTAATTAAAATAAAAGAAACCTTAGTAATAGAAGATAAAATATATTAAATTAATATAAAATGGAATGTAACAAAATAAAATAAACTCAATTTAAATTCTATATAATTATGTAAAAAGCAAAGCGAACTAAATAAAATAATATTAAATTAATTTAAAATGAATTGAGTTGTATTAAACTGATTGAAATAAAACAAAATATAACAATAAAATGAATTATAAAATGAATTTCGGCAACTTTGAAGGTGAACACAAGATTAAAAAAAAATTAAAATTTGAGCATTTCTTTTGTCTAAATGACATGGTAATGTTTAAGTCAATGAAGACGATTTCTTGTTTTTATAAAATGTATAGTATTCAATTCTTGAAATACTGATTAAGATTTAGTTTGTTAATAAAATAAAAGAGTCTTTTATCCTTATTAGATTTTAAAAGTTTCAGAGTTTTATAAAGAGCATCCGTTTATACAAAAATTAGCGGTCGAGTTATTGTCTTGTTTATTTAATTAAAGTAATTTAATATAAGTTCTATTTAAAAGTTTTTTTTTATTTTGAGTACATGACTATTATTTTTCCGTTCAACCAACTTGAAATTTTTGAAAGAAATTTGACGGTCTAAAAATGTGTATTGCTTAGACCTTTTCAATAATCAGTATTTCTTATTTGTTTAATTTTCTTTCATTGACATTATTCTCATGTTGTTGTGCTTATTACAAACAACCTGAACAAATGATGGATTGCTCAAATTTTGTGTAGTACACAGATTACAAACACATATTTTATTTAATTAAATTTAAACCATTACTTTGGGAATAAAGCCTACAAATTGAAAATGCATGACATATACATCCAAGTCATTATCCTCGATGGAAACTTAATGTTGGTTTGAGGAGGTTAAATTTCAGTTGATAGGTGTCTTATAAATTAAATATTAAATAAAAATAAAAAATTCCTAAAATAATAATTTCACTTTGATTAAATATTATTTGAGTCTAACATGAATTTTTTTCTTCATGCACATCTCCTTTCCCACAAATATTCTTTCCATTAGATTGTATTTTAGTTTCAAATATTTTTTGCTAAAGCACTTGATAAAGTCTGTAACATTTATTTACTTCCATTATTTTCTAACACAGTCTGCAGTAAATTTGTTAAATGTTTCCGCACTTTACTCATTTTCCTGGGAAGCACTGTCATTGCTGTCTGCAGTCAATGCTCGAAATTTGATCGTTGTATGTTAGTGTAAAATTTTATGCCATAATTAAAATGCAATTTGCTGTCATTCACATAACAACGCCATGGAAAAAACATTGGAAAAAGAAAAACTGAAAAAAAATAAATCTTTTCGCTAATGTGGACAATAATAAAATGCCATTGTATAGAAAATTATTATTAAAGTACTCTCAAAAAAGCTACCCTTAATGAAACGAATAAAATAAATATATATGCGTTGTTTTTGTCAGCCTCAAGAATTTTTTAATATATTTGTTACATACATACACAATTATTATTTTTTCCCTCCAGACGGCCTCCTTATAAATACTTGTATGAACTGAGTTTTTGAAAGGCCTAAAGCAGCATTAATATACGAATATATCTATAGTCACAGTCAAAGAGTATTCACGTGACGGACGGTGCGTATGAGTGATTTTTTTTACGATTTCATCGTACTTACCTAACTTGCACATAACTACAAGCAATAACTTTGTATATGCTGATGATACACATTCATGCAAATATAAGTGCTCTACTGTGTTGTGCTTGTATGTACGCACATATTCGTACACTATGCAGACAGTGAAATACAATGAAAGTGGCAAAGTTGTAAAATATTGCTCGAGGAGCGCACACTACAGATGCTTTGTGAACAATTCTCGCCACTTTTCCTTTGTTTTCAATAAATATACACACTTCCCTGAAGAGTTTATTTTCTCAAGTGTATTTATGATGTATTCATTGTATACACACCTTTTGTACAATACATACTTACTTGGATCTATTAAATTTACTTCAAGTGAAATGTGCCATTTAAGAGTGTTAATAATATATATAAGCAATTTAGTTGATAACGATGATTTGGCTTTTTTAAACTAATGAAAACTTAATAAATTTCTATTTAGTGTATACGTGTATTAATATAAAATTCATTCAGTGTGTTGTTCCACGAAGTTCTTTGTTTGATATATTTTTAGGATATTTAAAATATATTTTGTAAATAAATTATATTATTGAATTAGTCACTTATAAAGCACAAAGCAAATTAGTATACTAAATAGTGATAAAAATGGATTTAATTTTTTTCTTTACAGACGAAATTCCACTGAAAAGTCCAAGATGAAATAATACAAGCTGCAGGTAATTTTTCTAATGGAACATAAATAACGACGAGTAAGGGCGGCTAATTTCAACTCGAAACGTCAGCACGCCTATTTTAGCCCCCATTAAAAATATTTTGAATACAAATAATAATTCGGTCTGGTTTTTTTTGTTTTCGAAAAGTGTTTTTTTTTTTTTTTTTTGAAAATCATTTAATATATATCCGCTCTGATGCGTATACTTGTTCCTCATCTTTCGATATCTTCGTACACCATCTCTAAAAAATTAGTCCTCTCCGTTTTTAGTCCAATGATTGAGCCATTCTCCGTTTTCTCTATATTTCTCTATACTAAAACGTTTTCATTCGTCGAAGAAGCCAGTAGTTGGAATTTACAAGGTGTGGAGAATACAGTGGAGCAAGGTCAACCATTTCAGCATTCCCAGGTAGTTTTTGATCTTTACAACCACGTGGTGCTAAGTGTTGTTATTTGGAGTAATCTTTCTCAGGTGTTTCGGCTGTCTTTCATTCATTAAAACGGCTGAAATGAATTAGTTATAGCCGACAACGTTGCCCATCCATTGCCTGGTTTTAACTGCAATTCCTATCTTCAAAGTGTTGGCCTAGACGATTTTTGACTTCAACTCTAAAATTATTACCTAAGCAAAAGCTATTGGTCGCCGCATATGAACTGTGAACTTCAACAAGTTTTGAATGGGCTTCCCTTTCACTGTACTTTAAATTAAAAAATAGTAAAAAATCAAAGCTCCCCCTAAATACTGTTTATTTAATCCAAATCAGGACATCATCGAAGAGGTAAAAAAAGGTTGTTATCAGAAATAGACGCTGATGAACACTAATTATCGCTGAAAGATGTGAAACTTTTCTTTTGAAATAGGTAATCGCTTCCAAAGTCGGAAGCAACTAGAAGGTGAAGTCTTCTTTTGAGAATGGATCGTATTAATTTGTACCCTCAATAGCTTACCTATTAAGCTTGGAAATAAATTCCGTTGGCAATTAGAAAGTTTGCTATATCAAACATAGTTGTAGTTGCTAGCTTTTCTAGTTCTTTCAATGTCATCGTCTTTAATAAATATGACTTTGTAACTAAAATGCAGCGATTTTCATTTAATTTTCAAAAATACCGTTATAAAGGAGGTTTTACCCTTTTCCTATAGCGTCCATACTTGTTATCGAAGAAGTGTGTGAACCTAGTTTCACCAAAATATTTCAAGCGTATGAACAAATTTACCGAAAGACAATTGACTTAATGGGGTACTTAGGTCTTGAAGTCCAAAAAAACTCATTTTCTTTTATTTGTTTAAAAAACACTAAATAAAGTATACAATTTATTTTATTTACATATAAAAGCAGAATAAGCGTACAACATTTGATGAATTTTTGAATGAAAAATAGTATAAGTTGAGGCAATGGCAGTGTCGCGAAGTAGACCGTCCACACGAAAGTGATTTCAGGGACTTTAAAAGCATGTATAAACTCGATTGCTTCAATAGCCGTTGAGAAATTTTGACTACCGATTTCGATAAATTTATTATTTGATGCGTTATATTTGGTTTTTTTTTGAAATCGGATATATATTTTTGCCGTTACACACAACCGCTAGATAAACCACCTTTAAATACTCTTTGCGTTAAAATTGGTTACTATTTTTTTTCTGAACGGAATTACGCTAGTAATAAATTATGATAAAAATAGTTAGCTTAATTTTAAGTATAAATTAAATCAAAGGTACAAAAAAATGTGTTTGGCTAAATTTTATTCTTTCTTTTGGCAGCATAATGCATTCCTTCTTATATATTTGCACATATTTATTTATTTTAGAATTATAATGTTTAAAAGCAAAGCTTTGGTAACTGAGGATATGATTTTTATATCTACTGGTTAGCTTTGACTTAACTCCCAAGTTTTTGTATGATAATAGAAAAATAACTTGAAGTTAAAAAAATATTGTTCACTAACTAACTTTTAGTTAACAGAATGTTGAAGCCATGTACTTATATATAATTTTTTTTTTCATAAAATCATAGAAAAGGAACGATGAATAATGAACGATGCGTCGCTTATGAGCCGGTTGTACTCAGTTACAAAACTCTATTGTTTTTATATTTATATTATTATTCCTTTTCCAATGAAATAACCCCCAGTTAATTGTAAATAAAAAACTTTCCAATCTTTTCCTAACCACAGAAACTTTGTTATGTTTCACCTAAGGATCCTGAGCCTAGGTGCTATTTCCAGTGAAATCATTACGAGTATAGCGGTCATCAGTGGCCAAGAGACTATGGCATTTGCACCTTTGACCTGATTTTGAAATTTAAAAGTTGCATTAATAGAGAGCTCCTGGCAGTTATACCTACAAACGCCTCCAATATTTTATTAGTTTTGCTTCTATACAGGAATATACTAAGACACCAAAACATCTACGAGTGTCGTTTTAGTTCTCTAGCAATGACACCATAGTGATGACATACGACGAGATTAAAATTTGTGATAAAAATCGCTGCACGAGCCACGTTCTTAGATATTATTTGATACTCAACTATTGCACTACACTACAGAATATTCCACAGTAATTGTGAGCTTTCGGCGCTGCTTAAGCTTGGGGAGACGAGGAGGTAAAGGATAATTAGAAGCTGGCACAGGTAATCAATTTATTGGCGTCCATTTCAAAATTGAGAGGCTGGTAGTACCATGTTTTGTGTGAGGAATTTATTGAGTTCAAAAATATATACCCAGAAACTGGCACTTTTAAGACACTTTTAGTGGCTTGCTTCCTAGATTTTCTTTTATTTAATCTTCAGTTTAGCATCTAATAGACACTTTATGCTTGTGACTATGAATATTGCAATTATCTATGTAAGAATGCACGGGAATACATATATATAAACATAAATACATCAAACGACAAGAAGCCAAACCAAAGACTTAAAGACTATTTTAATGGGAAAAAATAAAATTCAATCGGTTTCAATTCGTAATATATTTTTAATAATATTTCTTAGTGTACAAAAAAATAATTTTTGTCTTATTGAAGTGTGCGCCTCAAAAGAAAAAGCTCCCCGGTTATGCTGGGGGTCGGAGCTAGGGTTAAACAGTTGGAAAATAAGACAATTGTTGACTTCGAAGAAAATTGACGTTTTCGTTGTGAAAAGTTTGCGATAAAAAAGGATCCTGACTCCTGCCAGAGCAATGGATGAGTATAATAATTTATTAAAATTTCAGCCCAATTGCTTCGATACTAATATTCTATCTATTTCTATTCTACTTTCTATAGTCCATGACTACCATAAGAATTTTGTGTCAAAAATAAAGATAAAAACGCATTTCAAGAGCTGCTTTGCGACTCAATGCGTACTACTACAAAATGCTCACTTATAGGTGCTATAACTGCGTTAATACTTCCAATTTCGTTCTAAAATTTTTATAATATATTTGTAGTACAATATATTTACTATTACAAGTTACCACCAAATTTTTTGTTAATTTGTTTAACTTTTTTTTATTTCATTTTAAGTTAGAATTATACCCTTTTTATTAAACATATTTAGTCATTCAAAATAGAGAAAACATTTTATTCTGAATGCGTTTCGATTTTTTTATCTAGTAACAGGTTACAAATTTTAATTTTATCATCTTATAAAACATACCCGTATGTTATTTTATTTTAACATTTTTTAACAAATATTATTACGAGTATGCTAAAGTATGTTGACATCTTTGAACGCTCCGTTTAACATTCAATCCGCCAAACCAAATTTTAAATCTACAACAATAAATAACATTATTTCCAAGTACCTTTTCAGTCATTTCTGACAACTACAAATCCGCCATGAGCACTTATCAAAAGAATATATCAATTTGCTAACCGAAAGCAGCCAGGAGTAGAATTCTTGCAAAACACCCAAACATAAATTACCATTGCTGACGTTTTTCATGCAGAAGAAGTTTGAAGAAAAGCAAATCTTTCACACATCTAAAAAATTTCAAAAGCGCATTAAGCTTCTGCTTGTAGCTTTTTCGCAAACAAATAAAGCATTGAATATATGAAAGGAAGAGTAAGTTTTGGAAATTTGTGCAACAAAAAAAAAAACACCAACAACAACACACTGAAATGTGAGACCGAGTAGGATATGAAATAACAAGTTAGACGCCAGTGGCATTAATTCAGTTCAAAAATGCAAATATGTCTGCCGAAATAGTATGTGTTTTTGCTTTTCAGTTGTTCTTCTCGTACGAGCATAAAGCAAAATAGGCACTCCTTTTGCAAATTTATAGATGCTCATATTACTGTCAACTCTGGGTGGTGAGAAGGTGCTACAATGAGCATTTGTGGTGAAAAATAAGCGCATTGGAGAGTAGCAGTGTGACCTTACACGTGGCAGCATTTTTGCAGATAAATACATATATACATACTTATACGTAAGTATTTTTGCGGAAAAATAGATATGTATGTTAGGCTTTGTCTATAGCATAACTTTTAATGGTATCATAGTGCCTACCAGGTGATAAATACAGTGGGACAAATTCATTTTATTTGTAAGACTACGTTTTGGAATTATTAATGTTTACTAAAAATTACAAGCCTTATTTCATCTAAGAAACTAATGTCGTCTTCGGCCGAATTCTTTCTACCTTTCATTATTGCAAAATGAAAAGTTTGATTTGAAAGATTTTTTGTGTCAATATGAATTTGAATTTAAGTGTCTTTAATCTTATGCCCTTGGATGCATTTTTTACAAATTTTTAATACAAATCCTTTTATATGAATAAGTCATTAACATGGGAGCTATGTGATATAGTCGTAGTTTTCTGCACCAATATTTTATTTTAGTTTCCATATGCTCTATTGGAATCGGCTATATGCGATTATATAATATTATCGACCAATTTGACTGACACTTCAATAAATACATTACAAAAATACAGCCGCATGGTAAGTTTCGCTCAAATATCTGAAAGTCTGCAAGACTAGTTTGGGCTCAAACATACAGAAAGACAGACAAATAACGGTAAGGTAAAA